GCAATGCTGATATTAAAGTCAGCTAAATTTTACTCTCACTTCATCATGAAAACAACCTGGGAAAACACAGACAGAAGGTCTAAATTCTTTGGTCCTGTTCAGCGCAAACTTTGACTCCTGGTAGATTTCTGCTTTCTGTAGAGTAATATTTGTGTGCTCTTTATTGCTATTAAGCAGCTTCTCCAGAAACTTTTCTTCCTAGGCCACCCAGCTTCCCTGAACTCAGACCTGTGGTTTTTGAATTTCCCTCTTCCCTCTGCAAGGAGGCAGCTCATTTTTTACCTACTTGGAATATGCCAAACATCTACCATGAATGGTATTCCAGGCAGCTAAAATTAAACGTCCAACAGAAAGACTAAGAGGGACTTAGAACCATGGACGTTTAAGATACTTTGTTTCTTCAGAAAATAGCTTGCTTCCTGGAGCTCTGGTTAAGATTGGCAATACAGCCTTCCATTTCCACAACACAGTCTTTCCTGAGGACTCCATACAACATGGCAGAGTGTCTGCAACCAGGCTGAGCTCCAGCATTGCCCACACATCTCTCAGAGCTTTGCAGCAACACAGTACAGGGCACTAGTGAGCGAGGCTATTGCCTGGCTGGGTGCAAGGCAGGGCCAGACAGCCAGGAAAGCTGAACTGAAGGCACCTTTTTGGCTGTCAGGAAGGACAGGAAGCACAGCCGTCCTTGGGAAACTGCCTGCTCTTTGTCACATCCATCTCCATCTACAGCAGCCCTAACTGGAAGCCCAGAAAGAAACTGCAGCTCCCAACAAGGGCTGGGGTTATTTTAAGGCTCAGCAGTGGAATTCCTGGAAAAACATCTGCTGGCTGGAAGAGCTTCTCAAGTCTGTATATGACCATAAACATGTGACACCAGATGTTTATTTCACTCATAAGGTGGCACCACTACAAAAAGTGCTTCTGCTGCCATCATGGGTTACTGAATGAACAGGTACTCAGACAAAAACACTGTCTGAGTCACCCACGGAGTTTCCTGAAGACTTGTGGGTTTTCTCTTTTTGGGCTGCTGACACAGACTCAAACTGTTTACTTTCTCAAGCCAGGCAGGATACAGCTAAAAACAAGAGGGTTGCAAGCCTTTGTGTGCTGCTCTGCCTGCACCTGCCCCTGTGGGCCACGCAGTCAAAGTGCTGCCGCCTAATTTTAGTACGAAAAGGAGGGATTCCTCTCTGGTTTGCAGCAGCAGGCAGCTGCAAAGGGGACTGCACACTAATCTCCCTGTAAAATACAGAATCCCTTCAAACAAATAATTAGGTGGCCAGTGTTATCTGACACTCCTCTGTGCACATCTCCCACTACACCAACTTATCCTGTAATACCATTCCTCTGGAGACCAGACTACTGAACCGTGGATTTATTCCTAACTGCTTTTCTCCCCATGCTCTCCTCTATGCCTTAAAGTATGTTAATCCAAATCCTCAACAAAAATATCTAGGAAACTCTGCATCAATGGAGCCAGCTACCAGTCCCTGTGCTTAGGCTTCTGATTTCGGCCCCTTAGGTTCAGAAAGTGAGCACACAGTTCCCAACCACCAACATCATCAGAAGCTGCTCAACATTTAGCACTATACACAATTACACTGGTTTTGATAATTTCCGTTTTGGTAATGGATCTCTCCTCCCCATAATGACAGCAGCAATCAGTATAAATCTGGAATAGAGCTTTCTTACAGACACTGGTCCTTGGTTTTTGCCCTGTAAGATGAGCTGCGTAAGGGTCCAACCAAAGTGTGGTATAAATGAGTCAGGTACAGCCTAGGCAAGGGCTTCCCCATCAAAACCAATGCACAAATATGCTCAATAAGTTCTTTGCATACAGAGGGATAGAAAGACATTTACAGATTTAGGTAATTGGAACATATATCCACTGCACAGAATGAGGATAAGAGACTTACACACATTGTGAAACCCGGAAGGAAAGTTTGCTACTGGGGTTTCACCAGAGCCCTGAGAGGCAGAGCTATGGTAGGCCTTCCAGTAAAACCCTGTGCATCTCCAAGCCTCTTGTTCTCCATCTGTCATCCGGGGTCAGCCACGCTAATCAGCACCACAGATGGGCTGAAACACTGAAACACACAGAGATGCATTAAGCCTTGAAGATGACACAAAGCTTTGCAAACAGAAGAAGCCCAAGAAGGCCAGAGAGTCATTTATCACTTGTAAACTATTGAGAGTGTCTTTGGTTATAGCTGGATTTCTTTTTCAACATCTTTTAGCATCTTGAACAATACCTTTTTGAACATGGAGTGAACTCATGCTAGCCCACAATCTCCAGGACAGCACCAAACCCATATTTTCCAAGGGAAGGCAGAAAGCAATGTGAACAGGGAACACCTGGTCACCTCTTAAGTGTTGTTTTTCCTGCTCTGGAAAAAATCCAAGTGTATTTTGTGGCCAGCATTGGGTCTTTTCCTCCCAAGACTTATTTTCACATTCCTACATCAAAAATACAAAACCCAGAAGATCTACGTTCTATAAATAATGTCCCAATAGTGCCAAGGTCACCAAGCGTTCCCTCTGGCACCCGGCCAGAAGTCAAACACAAACAATCTCAACATCTTTCTGGTTCACGTGTGCTTTTATCCTGTGCCAAAGGAAAACTTGTAGCCAAAAACGTGGCACTGAGAAGACAGACACCCCCACCTCATGCACAGCCCCTCCCAGGTCAACATGCAGCCTCCTGGGCAGTCCGGTGGGAAGGCAGCCAATCCTGCCTGCGTCAGAGGGGATACTCTTTGTGCTCCAATGGCATTTAGCAGTTTTCGTTAGAAATTTGGGGGCTTACTGCGTGAGGACCAAGCACACACATGGCACAGAACTTTTCATGATCCAAACAGCTCAAAGTGAGGTTTGTGACCAGCATGTGGTACCGTCCCTCCCAGCCCCTACTATTCAACATGTTGACCTTCAGAGAGCTGCAGGACAAGTGAACGCCAGCTGCAGATGTGCTCCTGGCATTTTGCACACTTCAGCACTCGATGCTCAATGAGAACAATAAGAAAACATTTCCCTTTGGATCACACCCCAGCCTTCAAGCAGCTCCAAATGGACTGAAAACCTCAGGGGAGGGCATGTCTGTGGTTTATTCTCCAAGAGATCAATGGCCATCCACCCCAAGCCTTGCTGCGCATCTCTGGAGATGCTCTTGTGTTCATATCTCTACAATAAAACCTCACTACAGGCCCACAAGCAGAAAGGACCAACTTCTCCTGAGACTATAGAGCAGACCTCACCTTCTCAGCCTCCTGGCTGGGACAACCACCTACACAGGGAAGAGCTCCCTTCACCTTGCTCTGCACTGCAGTCAAAGAACAAGAACAGACACATACTAAAGCACCCAAATGCCCCTTTTCCCAGCTGCTGTCAGTATCCAGCCCCTCACTGCTGAGGGCACCAGGACAGTACAGGTTCATGGTGTCCCTCACGCTGCTGTGCAAGCATCAGGTGTGTATTTATGCAACCTAGGCCTAGGGCTAGGGCTAGGGCTAGTTGAGGTGCTTTCATGCTGAGTCTTAAGACCTTGTTTATTTTGAGGTTTTGCCAAAACCTTTCTAAGAAAACTTCTTCCCTGGGCAGACTCCCCTGCTTGAACTGTAACTACTATTTATTTGTTTAAAAATCACTTTCCTCATCTACAGGCCCTGAATGCCATTATTCAGCAGGCTGCTCTACTGCAGAAAGAATTACTGAACAAGTTATTTATGCCAAGTCCAGAATAGCCAGTGCTCTTGCATACTCTGTAGTTTCTCATGGCTCAGCTGTGCTAGTAGTACCCTAATGTCAACAAAGCTTTGGTTGCTGCTGGCATTTGTAACTCCCAACCTTTGTAGACAGAGGAGATTAAATGGTACCCATTTAATCACTTGCAGCCCTGATTGTCAGGTTCCTTGCTCAGGTAAGAAAAAGGCTCACTCAAGTCCAACTCCAAGCAGCGCTGAGGCAGGGCAAGGAGCAGGTACTGAATAAAGTGCTGCTTAGTGCTCAGCCTGCTTTGCTCAGTCAGAGCTGAACTCAACAGAGAAGCCTAATTGCTGCTGCTGCTCTAGACAGAGCATGCACCTGCTCAGATGGGACAGTCAGACCCTGCAAGAGGCACAGCAGACCGCTCAGCACGCAGGAATGTGCAAGCTCTGGCGGGGATGCAGAGCCCGCTGAGAGCTGGCTTTCCTCACCTTCCCCTCTCTGATGGCAAGGAGTCTCTCCCGGCTCCCTCCCGCATCGCGACTGCCTCCCCCTGCCCCTCTCCCTCTATTCCCCCCAGCACCTCCTCGTCCACCACGGCCAAGCCCTCCTTGCAGCCAGGGTTCCCCAGCACACCCACAGGATCGCATCCCACGGGAGCACAGCTGTGCTAGCTTCCCTCATCCCAACCCGACGCAACGCTCAGCCACCGCGGCTGACCCCCCAGCCTGAGCAGTGGTCAGGACTCAGCCTCCCCTTTCAGGCACCTGAAGTACTCATCTGGGGACAGTGGTTCTCCTGTGACGCTTCCCGAGCACGCGGGAAAGGACGGAGCACTTCCAGGAAAGAAGCGACATCGGACCCCTACCTTTGAGTCGAGTAACAGCCAGGAGAAAGCCCTCGCCACAAAGCCAAGGGACCGCCTGCGCATCCCCTCGCAAGGCGGCACGGCTGCTGTCCCTCCAACGCTCGGAGTCACCTGGCACCCTCCCACCGGGACACAACGCTCCACCACCTCCTCCTCCAGCCATCCCACCGGACCGGGCACGGCCAGGACGGAGACGGTCCCGTCGCAGCCATGCGCAGCCAGCACAAGGGCTGATCCCTCTCCTTAAAGCCTCTGTCCATCCGTCCGTCGGTCCATCCATCCCTCCCCAATCCGCGCTGACTGGAGGGGACAGCGGGGTGTCCGGCTGCCAGCACAGGGCTCCCGCGGGGCGCACGGCCGCGATCCCCGGCACCCCGAGGGGCGGCGGGCAAAGTCCGCGGCGCGGGGGAACGCGCACAGCACTCACCCTAGCGCAGGTCCCGGCGGCGGGGGACACTCCCGAGGGCTCGGCTGGGCTGCCCCATGGGCAGAGCGGTCGGGGGCCGCCCGCGGCGCCGCGCAACCCGCAGGCAGCCAGACTGAGCCCGGCCCCCGCACGGCGCCGCCTTTACCGCGCCCGCCCGCCCCGCCCGCGCCGGCCCACGGCGGGCGGGACCGCCACCGACAGCACCGCCACCGCCTTCCCCGCCACCGACAGCACCGCCACCGCCTTCACTGCCACCGGCAGCACCGCCACCGCCACACCCCCGACGGGCCGGCCCCGCCGCCAGGAGCGCCGGGTTTACCTGTGCCCCGTGTGGCTCCTGTGCGGGTTACGCGTGGGCCACCTGTGACCGCGTCGTGGCGTGGGAACAAAGAGCGGCGTCCCGGGGCCGGGTTCCTGCGAGGGAAGGAGGGGCGGGGGCATCCATGGAAATAAACCCCCGGGAGAAACAAAAGGCGCCGGTCCCACCCAGCCCGTCGGGGAGCTGCAGGCGGGGGTCTCATGGCTTCATGTCCGACGGCTTGGAGCTACCGAGGGACGGCAGCCAGGCTGTCCCAGTCCCTCTCTGCCACACAAACGGCGTCTCGATCGTGCTGGTCGCGGCCGCGTGGTTTCCAGGACCGCTTTACGATTCCCTGAAAAAGGCACAAGGGAATAAACGTGCGCGCAGGGGGAACACGCATAGTTTTTCCAGGTGAAGTGGTGCCAGGGAAAAGCCTGGCTGCACAGAGAGCTGCAGGGCCACCGCCAGCTGGCCCTGGAGCGAGGCTCACATCGCCGGGTTCCTCTGGAAAGATGCTCGGAGACCAAGCCGGGCGTGCCGGCATTTTAATGTCGCGGTTGTCTCAGAGCAGATAAGATTGTAACGAAAGAGAATGACAGCGTGGTAAAGGGCAAACATCAGCAGCTATTAGACACAGAGCCACAGGAGCTGGTGGCAGCTCTGTCCCCTATTCTGATGCAACTCCTTTTTCCAAGGGAGGTTTCTGGTGTGTTCATTTGACCCAGCTCGTTTCACGGGTCCAGTTTGAAGGTATAGAAGAGGACGATGCCTGCGTGGCGAAAAGGGAGAGGGAAGTACAGAGAGGGGGATCGGGTGGGAACCTTTCAACTCTAACCCCATGGATAAACCCTAATGGAGAACCACATCCTCAAACATGCAATGTGATGAGGTCATTGCAAACACAAGGGTGTCCTTTGAGCAACTGAAGGCTTATCCACTGGGAACTGGGCTGAGATGTATCATTTCACAGAGGCCACGTAATGAATCTTTGGGAAACAGAACATTTCTTCAGAGGGAATATCTGACATTTCAGTAGCTGGTTTTGCTGCATAACAGAGGGGGGAAATGCCGGTGGTTTTTTTTATTTTTTAATTTTTTTAATCCAAGTTCTAAAACAAATTCAATCCTGCCTTGGAGCTAGTCAAATATTTTACCGTGATAAAGTTCAAAATTTTTCAGTGTGATTGTGCCAGAGCATGTACAAGAGATGAAATATTATACATACTCCATCTGGGCTTTGTGGCATTGAAATATGATAATGAAATACAAAAGCATACAGAGCAAAATGGGAAGACACAGCCGAAACAATCACATTTTATATTATTGACATGAAATAACTATGATATTGTCAAACAAGGAAAGTCAAAATATGTCATGCTGGCTTTTTCTAAAGAGAAATTTGCATTCAAGGAGATCTCTCAAAGTTGTTTCAAAGAAGTAATGAGCAGTTTTCTGAGGATAGGTCAGGCTGCTGCATCAGGGTGAAAGTTTCAGAAGTGGTAAACATTTCTTTTCAATGTTCGTCATTCAAACAATTGTGTCATCTGATGTCACAAGGAGCTATGGGGTTATTTCTGGCACGTATAAACGTGCTTTTGAAAATATTACCCTCAGCCAAGATTTGAATTCATAAACAAGAGCCAGAGGCCTTCTGCAGCAACTGCATTGTTTGAGACTGCCTAGATCACCCACCCACCCACCTTTTATTAATTCAGACGCCTGGGTCAAGCCTTTGTCCTCCCTGCTGAGTGTTTCAATGGCAAGACAACGGCCACAGGATGTGCTTTCAGCTCTGCCCCTCTCCCCTCTCTCTTTGATGCTGTTTGGTCAGAGCAGACCGTCACAGCATTAATACTGCTCTGTGTGACCACATTTGATAAGTAACCTCAGGCTCTCAGGCACATTTTTTCCCCCATCTCCCCAGCAGCAGGCAGATGGGTGGGAGCAGGCAGATCTCTCCCGACTCCTTGCAGGCAGGCTGGGGTGTGACACAGGTCACAAGGGGGATCAGCAGCTCTCGGCAGCAGGAGGCACTTGTGAGAGAGGGGATGTACAAAAGGCAGCAGCTGGTCTGCGGGAGGCTTTCACCTGCGCCACGCTGCTCCATTACACGGGCCCAAAGAGGCTTTAGTTTCCTTCGCAGCAGCTTTAGTAAGTGCGCAATCAAACCCTCGCTGAAGCGTCTCTAGCAGTCACCAGTGGCCTGGGGCTGACACTGACGTGCGTGCAGCCTTGTTCTGCAGGACCGAGGAAATCGAGTGGCTCAGAGTCACCAGCTCGCTGTGCCCCAGAGGCTTCGGCTGGGACACTTCATCGGGCGGGAGAGAGAGAAGGATGGAAAACAAACTCCAAGCTGGACCCGGGGGAAGAAGCATTGCAAACCAGAGTGGAGAGGGGAACAGGGAGAGGGATGCACCTGCCCCTGGATCCCACACAATCCAGCCAGAGCCTGGTGTTTGAATGAAAGGGGAAAAGTAAAGGAAAAATTCGTCAACTCTCCCTAAGTAATGTCCTGCACTTGATAAGAGCCCACGGACAGAGACAGTGACTCACTGAGAGTGGGACACAGAGAGATGGGGGCTCAGAGGCCCCAGGCAGCAATGGGAAGGGAGAGGTTGGTCCAGAGTCCCTCCCAAGCCGTGCTCGTGAATATCTGGTGGAGGAGCATGTGTAAAGGAGAAGGGTCTAGCAGCCTCCCCCGCTGCGGGGGAGAAAGCCTTTTGTGTAGATCAAAGGCACAGCAGAGCCCTGTTTTTCATAGTCCTGGGCTGGAGAAACACCAGCCTGCTTTCTGCGTCTCCAAATAGGACAGTTTGTTAAACATGATGCCTCTGAAATGTGCTAAGGCAGCTACATCAGTAGGATTTGTTATATGCAGTGCTGAACACATTAAAATACATTCTAAGAGGATGCAAGGTAGGCTAAGCACAGAGACTCGGTTCTGTTAGACTGTGTGTGGAGCAAGCCCCCGCAAAGCTGATGGGCAGGATTTGGTTTTTCCTCAGCCAATACTAAATCTTAATTTTTCTCCCAGGTCAGCTGGAACCTTGGAGAGGGCAGATAAAGCCGGTGGGTGACACTTCCCCCTGCTCTTCCCTGGGGACCTGGCCCCTTCTGTCATTTTCTCTCTGAGAGCCAAGTCTGGGAATACCCATGAGGGTACGATGTGTGTGTCCTGTTTCTGAGGCAAGAGAGCAGGCTGCTGTGAGGGGCCAGAGCTGGCAGTGGGGTGTGCTGCTTCCTCAGATACCCCCTCCTGGGCCCCAGCAAGGGAAGGTGGTCCCTGTCCAAGGGGCTGGAGGCTGGAGCCATCTTCAAGCAAGCCCTCTGCCTACACAGCATCTGATGGGTGCAGACCCACTTTATTTAGTTGTGTTGCAAGGTGTTGGGTGGAAAGGTCCTGGGGAGGACAGTGTGTCCCTCTGAGCCTGGGGAAGGGAGGCAGCAGGCTGGCTTAGAGCACACAGCTGCCTGCCACTTTGAAACAGCCAAAATAATCAATACCCTGTGGATGTCTCTGTTTCATTACTGGGACCTCTCGCTGCTCTGACCACCTGTCCCCTGCTGTCTGCCAGGTGTGACCCCATCTCTGCAGGTCCTGCAGATACATGTCCCATTTGGGCTAGGACCACTTCTCGTGAGAGGAACTGATTCTGCCCCTGAGGTTGGGCTGGGGCATGAAGATGATGATGGGACTTTCTTTACCAGGAACAGCACACAAGCTGCTTTAAGGGCAAGGCAGGCTTTTTGTCTTGGAAAGGTAGCTCAGAGATCTGGTGCAGGGTCTGTGTCCCCAGGCTGCTCTTTGAGGGTGCTGCATAGTCAGATGGACAAGCTTTCAAGGGAAAAAAAGCTGTTGTGAAAATTGTGTTTTCTGATCTGTGAAAAGTAGCAAGACCTAGAAAGAGGAGAAAGTAGGTTCTGTATTGGCACAAAGTTTTTGCTCTTCTTTCATGGAAATCTCAAAAACTTGTTTCTGGTCAGGGCATTTTGATTTGGGGCCCGCAAAGGGGTGCATTTGAATAAATTATTTTGTGTATACACAACTAAGCAGAAAAATTGTCATTGGAATACAAACTTTAAAAACAATCTCTGCAGATTTTATCTGAAGCAAAATAAGACATGAAATAGCATTTTTAGAAGGGGAAAAAAACCCACCAAAACCCCAAAACAAACTAGAACACAAAAATTAAAGTGAAAAAGCTACTCCCAGAGTGTTGTCTGAAGGAGCCAGAGGGAGTCTTGTGTGTACCCAGTGTCACTGAAAGGGCTCCAGTACTTGCACAAGGCTCCTGCAGAAGCTTTGCTATCTCAGCAGGCTGGGCACAGACTCTATCCCCTGTAAAAGAAGGCCACATTGGAACAGAGCAATATTTTTTCCCTCTTTTTCGTGCCCCTCAGTGGCCTCCCACACCCCTTTGGCTTGCCACTCTCATTTTTCAGAATTCTACAATGCTCTTTTGCTGTTACCCTATAGCTGCTTTTACCCCCAGCTGCTCACCTCAGCAAATGGAGTCCTCTGAGCATTCATGAGTCCTCTTTTCAGTCCTTTTATTCTGCATCTGAGATTGTCTTGTTGTCCCTACACTATATTGAGCTAGTTGCTGACTTCAATTTTCACCCTTTAAGTTGTCATTTTCTCACACTCCAAAGTACTTCCTACAGTTTCCTTTGAAAGATGCCACAGAAAATGTGCTGAGTGGTAGATTTATAAGCTATAAGATCAGGGAGGATGGTTAGACTGTAG